TCGGAGAAGTCAACCTCGGCGAAGGACGCCGACTCCTCCGCGGGTGGCAAAGGGCGAGACAAGGAGGCGTCGTGCTCGCTGGTCGGCGTCGTGGAGCCGACCGTCTCACTGGCGCCGGAGGCTGGTGAGGATTTCCAGGCGATGGCGGCAGCTGTGCAAGTGAACCCCGCGGTGGTCTTGCTCGACAATGGCTGCTTGCACCACCTGATGGGGACGAAGGCGGCCTTCGTCGACTTGGGGCTGAGCGGAGACGTGAACCACATGCGTGGCTTCAATGAAGCGCTGCAGGACGTTCGCGGCCGTGGCACGGTTGCGCTGCAAGGGGAGGCCGGGAAGCGGGTGCTCATCTCCGACTTTCTCTATGTCCCAAGCGTGCAGGCGAATCTACTTTCCGCTGGCCAGCTGAAGGAGAGCGGGGTGACACTGAAGGACGACGTCGACAGGGTGTTGCTCGTTTCCGCGGCGGGGGACGTGCTCGGTGGAGCAACGTACATTGGCCGGGTCCTCTGCACTGACCTGCGCCCATGCGCGGTAAAGTCGACGACGCCCGCGAAAGAGGAGGTGGCTCTGCGGGCGATCTTCTCGGCGTCGAAGTCGACGCCGAACAGGCTGCACGCGAGGCTCGCGCACGTCGGCATGGACACCATCTGGAGCTCGCGAAGCACGAGGTAGCCACCGGGCTGGACCTCAAGTCGGTGTCTGGCGCCGACTCACTGTGTGTCTCATGCGTCGGTGGGAAACTGGCGCCGCACACCTTCCCCGACCAGGGCTCCGACGTCGCTGACGTGCTGGCCATTGTGCACATCGACCAGTGCGGGCCGTTCCGCGTGGCTTCCAAGGATGGCAGCTTGTACTTCTTGCTGCTGAAGGACCGCAAGACCCGCTACGTGTGGGTGAGGCCGGTCGCCAAGAAGTCCGACGTGCTGCGGGAGTTCCAGCAGTGGCTGGTTCTGGTAGAGTGGCAGGCGAAGATGTCGGTGCTGCAACTACTTTCTGACTGCGGAGGGGAGTTCCTCAGGAAGGACTTCACCGCCTTTGTGGACAGCAAGGGGATCGTCCACGACCTGACCTGCCCTTACACCCCGCAGCAGAATGGCACGGTGGAGCGGGAGATGTGGACCGTGGTGGAGTCGGTGTGGACGATGCTGCTGCACATGGGTGTGCAGCACCACTGGTGGCATCTCGCTCTACGGCATGCCGTCTAGGTCCGCAACTGCCTTGAGCAGTCGGCGCTGCCACCGGAAACGACACCGCACTAGCTCCTCACCGGGCAGAAGCCCGACTTGTCGATGGCGCGGGTGTGGGGCTGCATGGCGCAATTCCTCGTCCCTGAGCAGCAGCGCGGTGGGAAGCTGAAGCCGAAGGCCCGGTGGGGCCTCAACCTCGGCGTGTCGGAGGAGAGCAAAGGCTGAGAACTCATCGACATCGTCGCCAACCGGGTGGTCACCACGTCGGACGTGGTGTTCTACGAAACTATGTCGCTGGAGGTGTGGAAGTAGGAACTTGGGCCAGCGTCAGGGCGGACGCGGGCCAACCCACCGACGGACACCTCGACGGCAACGCTTCCTCTGCTCGTCGCGGTCGGTGAGCAGGATGCTGAGGATGCCGCGGTCGCCCCTGCCTCGCCATCCCATGCCCCTTCTTCTTGTCCCCTCTCTGTCGACCTGCGAGGGCTGACTCCGGTGTCGGCCTCCGGCGATGAGGGGAGCAGTGGGGCGTCGCCTGTGGCGCCGGCCAAGTGCATCGCCGGTGGCCGACGTGACGCCTGGCCAGTCGCGGAGAAGCGGGCCGCGAAGGTGCAACCAACTTTCAAGACCGCGGAGATCGCGGAGGAGACCGTGGAGGCGACCGCGGAGAAGACCGCGGAGGAGACCGCGGAGGCGACCGCGGAGAAGACTGCGGAGGAGCCCGCGGCTAGTAGGCAGCTGACAGGGGAGAAGTTGCTAGGGGCCGCGAAACCGCGGAACCGCTGGACCACGGTGCTAGGGGAGCAGCAGATAGGGGAGCAGGCAGGTGCGAAGCCAACCTCGGAGTAGTCGGCAAGGGAGAAGTCGCCCGAGGAGCTGACCGTGGTGCAGCCGGACGCTGAGGGCAGTGACGCCGCGGAGCCACCGACAGGGGAGCAGTCGGACGCCGGCCGCGGGACCGCGGGACTGCGAGGAGTCCACCGACAGCGATGTGGTGGAAGTCCAGACCGGCCTACGGCGGACAGGCCGACTTTGTCGGCCGCCTGATTTTTTCGTCCCTGCTGCCTTCACCGCGGTGTACGATGTTGATGATGACGACCTGGCGTACGACGACACCGTGGATGATGAGGAGTTTCCCGAGCTCGACCCCGATATGCACGCCGACCCCGAGCACCGTTGGGACATCTCCACGATGACGGTGAAGGAGGCGCTGGCGAGCTGGAAGGGTCCGGCGGTGAAGGCCGCCATGGAAGAAGAGATCCGCAGCCTCCTCAACATGGGCACGTGGGAGCTGGTCGAACGCCCACCCGGGGTCAACATCATGAAGAACCGCTGGGTGCTCACAACGAAGTACCACATCGACGACACCGTCGAGCACGAGAAGGCGAGATTGGTCGTGAAAGGCTTCACGCAGGTGTATGGCGCCGACTACGACGAGACGTACGCGCCGGTGAGCAGCTACGTCACGCTGAGGATTTTTCTCAACATCGTCGCCGTCTTCGACTTCAACCTGATGCAGCTGGACATGAAGAACGCCTTTTTGCAGAGCAAGCTCGACCGCGTGCTGTACATGTACCAGCCGGACTACTTCAACGACGGGACCGGCCGGGTGTGCAAGCTGCTGAAGAGCCTCTACGGGCTAAAGCAGTCGCCGCTGCTGTGGTACAAGGCGCTCAACGATGTGCTGGTCGGCGCTAGGTGGAAGAAGAGCCAAGTCGACGAGGCTCTGTACTTCAAGGTCGGCGACGACAAGGTGACCTGCTGGGTGCTCGTCTACGTCGACGACCTCCTCGCCGCGAGCAGCAGCACTACGATGCTGAAGGATCTGAAGGAGCTGCTAGAAACCTCCTTCGAGCTGCGCGAGATTTCGCCGGTGCAGAAGTACCTCGGGCTGGAGATCGTGCGCGACAGGCTGGCGCGGAAGTTGTGGCTGCATCAGCAGGGCTACGCCGACAAGCTGCGTAGGCGTTTCATCGACGAGGAGCAGACCGGGCGGTCGGACACCAAAAACGCCGGTCTGCGTCGACGCCTACGCGGAGCTGACGTTCTACGATGAGGAGACGCAGGAGCGTCAGGAGGAGGAGTACCGGCAGAAAGTCGGCTCGCTGCAGTTCGCGGCGACGACGACGAGGCCGGACATCGCATTCGCGTGCAGCAAGCTGGGGAGCGGACTCACGGTGAGGAGCGACCAGCACTGGTGCGAGGTCGACCGCTGCCTCGCCTACCTCGCCAACACGCGCGACACCGCCCTGGAGTTCGGCGGTGGTCCGGAGTCACTGGAGTTGGTCGACTACGTGGATGCCGACGACGCCGGCGACAAGCGAAACCAGATGAGCACGGTGGCTACGTGTTCGTCTACGGAGGGGCCGCGGTCTCTTGGTCGAGCCAGCGCATCAAGTGCGCGACGCTGTCGTCGACCGAATCGGAGTACGTGGCGGCCGTCGAAGCCGGCAAAGAGGGATGTCGTCTTCGCTTACTCCTTGCGGAGTTCCGGTAGCTAGACGCCGGGAAGCCGACTGTCTTCCGGGTGAACAACAAGTCGGCCATCACGGTCGCCGAGGGCATGGGGTTGACGGGCAACCTCAAGCACATGGAGCGGCGACAGGCCTGGCTGCAGCACATGGTGAAGCGCAGGAAGTTTTCGCTGCAGTACATCCCGACCACTGAGCAGCCAGCTGACTTCCTGACGAAGGCGCTGCACTATCCGGCCTTCAACCGGTGCTCCATCGCAATCGGCCAAGTGCGTCTGGCCGACGTGGGCGATGGAGACAACGATGTGCAGCAGTAGGTGCCATGCCCTCTTGCATGGCTGGTGCGGTGACCGGCGTGCTGTGCGTTGTGTGCACGCCGACGGGCTATTCTCCGAGCAGTGCTGCCATGTGGGCTGGGGGGCCCAAGCGTGAACACGGCAGGGGAGTGTCAACGGGAGTGGTGTTTGGCCCCGTCCTCGCTTGGGCGGAGCCGATCTCGAAATCGTGGGTACCGTGGGAGGCCGCGGGACCGCGGAAGACCTCGGAACCGCGGGAGGCCGCGGGAGGCCGCGGGAGACCGCGGGACCGCAGGAGGCCGCGGGAGGCCGCGGGAGCCGCGGGAGCCGCGTGGTACCGCAGAACCGCGGGACTGCAGGACTGGGGGAGCCGCGGGGTACTGCGGGACCGCGGAACTGTGGGGACCGCGGGACCACAGGGGTCATGAGGGCCGCGGGTGACGACCGCGGGACTGCGGGGGGCGCGGGATACCCGGTCGACCAGGATACCCGGGCGATGTATGTGGAAGTCGCTGGGGTGGTTTCTGCGAGGACGACCTCGGGGGTGGTATCCCGAGGTCGACGTGGCTGGTGGGCGCCGTCACGGGTGGAGTGTCTGCGCTGGGCATGTGACGGGACGTTGGACGCCAACCAGCTGCACGCACCTGCGAAGCTGGTGCACCGTTGTCAGGCGGGTGCAACGCTGTGCAGCCGACTTGCAGCAGCGTTGGCACACCGTGGACTTGCAACATTGGCAAGCCGCGACTCTGCTCTGCTGGAGCGCGGTCGACCAAGTCGTGCTGGCACACGGTCGACCGTGCTGCGCTGGCAGTCGACCAGCAGCCTTGCTAGGTCTGATGTAGTCTGTGTTGCCAATGCTGATGGAATCATTCTGAACTCTTGTTGTCATGTTTTCGTAGTGAAACTCTTGCCAATTTTCCCCGTGAACTAGCAAGCAGTGTGAGCACTTGGAAACAACTAAGGAACGAACGAACGCTACGATCACTCTTGCCCCGTGCCAGGCCTGTAGTCTAGCTCCCGTTGCACGAGTTATCTCCGCAAAGGATATGGTAAGGGAGGAAGGGCCCACTGCACCTAATGAGGTGGTGAACAATGCTGCTGAGATTGGTCTCAATCAAGATGAGGCAATGGCTGACATTGAACTGGATGATATTGCTGATCTTGACTTTGGAGATGAGGGTAACTATGGTGAAGCTGATAACCATGGTGAAGCTGATAACCATGGTGAAGTTGATAATCATGGAAAGGCTGATAACCATGGCGAAGAGGAGAACACCGGTGAAAAGGAGAACACTGGTGATGAAAATGACTTTACTGAAGGTGAAGGCATGAGTTATCCTATCTCCGAGGAGATTTTTAAGCTTCAGGCTTAAGTGTCAACCCAGAATATCACCATCCTGCAACAGCAGACGTCCATTGATGGACTCAAGAAGCATACTCAGAACCTTGAGGCTGAGTTGCGCGTTGCCACGAGAGAGGTTCGTGACTTCCGTCGCATCCTGGGCACTAAAAAGCTCCAAATTGAGGAGCTTAAGGAAACTTGCAATGACATGCAAGCGTCATTCAAGCAGCTCTATCTCCAAATCAGGGAGCTTAGGAGGGAGGGCATTTACCAACCTCCTCCTGGGCGTAGGCCCGCTCCTGCTGCTCAGCCGGCACCTGCTCTGCCCGCACCTAAGCTTTTAGGCGTTGCAACGGCTATACAACATATACCTCCAACCGAGACCTCACCCTTTGGGTCTCTCTCGGCGCCTCTGCCTGAGTTTAACCATGGCAAGACGGAGGTGAAGCCTTGGCTTGACCTGGTGGATACCACCATGACCCTTGGGAATGTGCGTCCTGAGGCTCGCATCACCGCAGCTACTCCTGCAATGGACGAGGTGGCCCGCAGGGCAGTGTATGGCGCTAAGAAGCAGGCGCAGGGACCGTTTGAATGGCCGGTATTCTGCACCACGCTGAAAGAGGCATTCATGGTCAAGAAGTCCGACCTGGAACAGCGCGGGCGCCTTGAGAGTATCCAAGTGTCGTGATCGTTCGGTGTAAGACTATGCGGTCGAGTTCGAGGCCGCAGCGCGCAAGCTCGAGAAGCCCTTGACTGAGGATGAGATGATGCACACCTTCATCAAAGGCCTCCTTGTCAAGCTGCAGCGGGCTCACATGACCGGTGTAATGACTAATTGGAGGACTTACAAGGAGCTGAAGGAGCAGGTTATCGAAATCGATACCACCATTCGCACGTACCTGGATGGTCCCGATGAGCCAGGCCAGCAGGCTCTAGTGGTCGTAGGAACCGACCCAAAAATGCCAACGGAGGAGGCGGTTGGAACAAGCGGCCATTTCATCAGCCTAATCACCAGCCCGGACCACAGGCCAAGAGGGCTAACGGAGGGGGAGGGCGTGGCCCTAAGACCCCAGACTTCTCCGACAAGCGGTGCAGAGGCTGTGGAAGGATGGGGCACATCGAAAGCAGTGCCGTGACAAGAACCCAATCAAGTATTCTGGGAAGCCTAAGCCAGGCGGCGCTGGACCTTCTGGAAAGAAGGATTTTCAGAAGCCTAACTATGTTACCTAGTTGGAGGAGTAGATCTAGTGGATGAGGCATATGTGCTATATGATGATGATATATTAAAGCTAGAGAAGCTTGCTGATTGCAAAATCTCTTGTTTGTTTGCCTCTTCTTTCAATAGAAACTCGGTTTTTTATCCTCGAACGTACCCATTTGAGAACATTTCCATGGAAGCAATTCAGGATAAGTTTTCAATTATTTTCTGTGGCTTGGACATTCTGCCTTATGTCATTGAAATCGTAAGTCGTTGCACTCAATAGCACCCTCTGACTTCGGACGTGTTGTTGACTCGCACAGTGAGAGACGAATTGTTCCATGCGCTTCGTGGATGGCCGGTCCTGGCGGCGTGAGACAAGGGACACCATGTGTGGTGGACCAACTCTCACGCGCATGGACGCGCTTGTCACAACGTCAAGGTGTATTACAAAACTTCGATGAATGTTGTGGCATGTCTTATTCACCCAAAGCATCAACAAAAATTGTTGCTTGCAGATAGCGTGAACGGGGAAAACGCAAAAATCCTTGTTCATACAGGTGGAACTGTTTCCCTCTTTGACAAAAAGTGGGTCACAGCACGCGCGATCCTCGTTAAAGGACCGTCTTACCCCATTCGCCTTGATGGTTATGGTATCATCCCAAGCCAAGGGCGGACACGGATGAACATGGAGATTGAAAGTTATCGCGAATAAATTTGCGTGTATGTTTTACCACTTCTTGCAAGTGTCAACCTTGTCCTTGGAATGGATTGGCTTCGAGCAAATGGAGTCAAACTCGATTTCCAGGATAATGCGGTCTCGTTCTCAAATAGTGGTGACACTGTCCAATGGCAAGTACCTAAGGACTTGATCACGAATGAGCAACACACGTCGCAACGTCCCGATGTGAGTTTTGCGCTTGCAAACGAGTTCGGACAACATGTTCGACAAGGTGATACATTTTTTTTGGTACAGCTTGAGAAAACTGGACGCAAGCAGACTGGGGCCAAGGATTTCCCGCCTCAGATGAAAGCATTGGCAGACGAGTTTGCGGAGGTTTTTTAGCCCATCCCAGATAGCCTTCCTCCGGACCGTGCAGCCGGTCGTACCATCCCCGTGGAGCCTGGAAAACTCCCACCATTCAGACCTATGTATTGCGTCAGTCCAGCTGAGTACGAAGAGGCTAAGCAACAAATTGAGGAGTACCTCAAGAAGGGATTGATTGAACTAAGCGTATCACCTTACGTAGCGCCGATCTTGTTTGTTAACAAAAAGGGCGGAGGATTATGCATGTGCGTAGAATATTGTGTTCTGAACAAGATACGGTGAAAAACATATACCCCTTGCCAAGGATTGAGGATCTGTTTGACAAACTCCAAGGTGCACAGTGGTTCAGCGCATTGGACCTCGCGCAGGGGTATCACCAATTGCGTATCACTGAAGAAGATGTACCCAAAACGGCTCACCGATCACCGTTTGGTCATTTTCAGTGGCAAGCGCTGAGATTTGGCTTGACCCATGCTCTTGCCTCTTTTCAGAGGGCTATGAATGATGTCTTTTGTGAGACGATCGGACAGTTTGTTCTGGCCTATCTAGATGATATCTTGCTTTATTCCAAGACGGAAGAGGAGCATAAGCATAAGCTACAAACGCAAGAAACTACGAGAGCATAAGTTCTATGCTCGTCTGTGGAAATGTCATTTCTACAAACGCGAGTTGGAATATCTTGGCCATCTCGTGGGACATGACGGTCTCAAAGTAGACCCAAAGAAAGTTCCCGCAGTCCAGAACTGGCCGGTGCCACAGGATGCGAGTCAAATCAAGTTGTTTTGGGACTGGCAAACTATTTTAATCGATTCTTGTAGAATTATTCTACCATTGTTGCTCGGTTGACAGCCCTCACTCGCAAGAGTAGCGCTTGGCAATGGACACAGCAATGCCAAAAAGAATTCGACGAGGTCAAGCGAATGCTGACCAACGCTCCGGTATTAGTTTTACCAGATCCGACAAAACCCTATGACGTTGTTACTGACACCTGATTGATAGGAAATGGAACTGTTCTCTTGCAAGAGGGGAGGCCAGTGGCATTTGAGAGTCAAAAGCTCTCCCCGGCAGAGCAACACTATACGACGTCCGAACATGAATTGTTGGCGGTCGTTCATGTGCTACGAACATGGCGATGTTATCTGGAGGGTGTGGACTTTGTGGTTACGACCGACCACTGTCCAAAAACCTACTTCTCTACTCAAGACACGCTTTTTCGACGTCAAGCCCGATGGGCGGAACTGCTTAGTGGGTTCACTTTCGATATTCGATATCGAGTAGGTTCAATGACCTTGGCTGACCCCCTCAGCAGACAGCCGATATGGCAGCAACACGGCTAGACGACACAGAGGATGTGACAATATTTTTTGGTTGCTTTTATGTCCTAGCAGCGGCTCGAGAGAGTGAGATTACCTTCAGTGGCTTTCTGAAATGCATCCGCACAAGGTACCAAATTGACTCCTGGTTTCAGAACCCACAGAACACGAAGGGACTCAAGTGGGAGCATGAGCTCTCGTGGCATGAAAAGGAGATTGTTGTACCTCACGTGGGTAACCTACATAATGATATTTTGTAAGAAGTGCATGCCACTAAGTACGGAGGACACCAAAGGGTAAAAAAGACCAGGTGGGCCTTGAGTGATGTGTACTAGTGGTCGAGATCGGGCACTGAGGTCCAGCAATTTGGGGCGCGCTGCGATGCATGCGCACGAAATAAAACAGACATCAAGAAGCCAGGTGGTTTACTTCAACCACTCGAAATTCCAAATGAACCTTGGGACAGCGTATCCGTGGATTTTATCACGGATCTAGACGCGCGATGGCCATACAGCTATCCTAGTAAGTGTGGATCGTCTGACAAAAATTGTGCATTTCGTGGCTACGACAACTGACGTTTCTGCGGAGGATACGGCCAAATTGTTTGTGGTGCATGTTTTCCGCTTACACGGATTACCACGTGTATTGGTGTCCGACCGGGATCCGCACTTCACAAGCCAGTAAGAGGTTACACGGACACTGGGAATGAAGCTTAAGATGTCGTCGACGTTCCATCCACAAACGGATGGGCAAACGGAACAAACAAACCAGACACCTGAGCAGATGCTTCGTTCATTCATTGGCCCAACTCAGGATGATTGGGACGAGTTGTTACCTGTCGTTGAATTCGCAGTGAACAATTCAGTTCATGAAGGTACACGTGAGAAACCTTTCATTCTAAATTGTGGTCGGCATCCCACAACACCTGCTACGCATGGGATCGGTGGATTGAAAATTCCAGCCGCAAAAGATTTTGTTGGCAAGTAGCAAGAAGCGCTCAAGTCTGGTCGTCATTGGCTACAACTCTCCCAGCAGGGACAAAAGTCTTACGCTGACATGAAACGTCGGGAAGTTTCATTTGAGGTCGGAGACAAATTTTTGTTGAGCACGAAGAACATTCATCTCAAAATCCATGTGGCACGAAAGTTGTTCCCTCGATAGATTGGGCCCTTCAAGATGATCAAATGTGTTGGTGTGGTAGCCTACAAGCTTAAGCTACCTGATACATTGCAGATTCACATCGTCTTCCATGTGTCTCTGTTGAACAACGACATTGCATAGGGCAAGTACTTACCGCCACCAACGATCGTCCTGGGGGAGGAACATTTTTATGAAGTCGAACGGGTGTTGATGCATCGTGATCGACAATGCGGCCGTAATACAGTACGAGAGTTCCTCATTAAGTGGAAACGCTACGGGCCTGAACACAAGTCATGGGAACCAGAAGAGCATTTGACTGAAACTGTAGTTCAGTTGTACACGGCAGATCTTGCCCGACGAGCAGCCACACAACCAGTGGATGGTGTTGACCCTGGTCGTAATGTGACACGGCGTGCTCGAAGCGCTCGTCCTCAGAAGCACCCTAAGGCAACAGGGACGTTGCAACCTGGGGGGGGAGGAGTGTAACGCATTACTTACTCTAGCTAACTACCGCTAGTTTCCAAAGTCAACATCAAGAGAGTGCTCGATGAGAAATGACTTGAAGGGAATGCGGAAGGTTGAGTTGGAGGGGGGGATTGGTTTGGTTGTTCCAAACCTCAACTTTGAGGCTTGGAACTTTCCAACCCAACAAATGTGAAGATTGAATGGTTGGATTTCCAACCAATCAGAACTTGCCAGTTGTAGTTACAATCCACACAAACTACAAGTCAACCATACAATCCAATGAAGTTGGGTTTTCCCAACCAAATTAAAATGACACCTAGGCTCCAAGCCTATGAGCTCCCCAACCATGGAAGCCATGGTTGGGAAGAGTCCGAAGGGGTATTGTGGAAGGGGTTGGAGCTTTCAAGCTCATTCCCACTTCCCAACTCCAACATACCAATTTGGAAATGGGATTTCTCTAAATCTTTGGTTCTCCTAACAAACTCTCCTACACAACTAAAGTTGTGGTTTCTTCAAGGAAAAGTTCTACAAGAAGCTACCTACTTGCTAAAGCTTCACCAACACTCTTCAAGTTCTACTTCTCCTCTCAAGCTTCAAGAGTATTATCAAGGCTAGAATATCCCTTGGTGGGATTAGTTTAATCTTGAAAGCTTTGTAACTTGATTTTATATATATATATATATATATATTTTTTTTCTCAAGGAAGATATATATTAAACACACGGTTACCCGTTGTTATAAGGGTCGTGGTTGTTTTCACCGCACTGTACCGTTGTGTCAGTCCGTGACTGTTTTTGGATGGTTCTAAAGAACCTGAACGACGACAACCTAGTTTCTCTTGTGTGTTATACAGTGTTCGAAATTCCTAACAAGGCGTGCAGCTCTTCTCTGCTGGGAATGAGACGAGAGCAGGCCTGTCAATTCAAGGGTATTTGCCCTTAATTCCCTGAACATTCCGGGCGATCTCTTGGC